TTTTGAAAGTGTTCCGGAAAGTCTGACACTTTTATATATATCTTAAATTAAAGCTAATGTAATATACTTTATCATGGAAAAAAAAAATTTCGGACTTTATTTTATCTTCAAGGTGAAAATGGCTACCAAATGCTATTATTGTGTGAAAATTCTCAATTTTATTTTTTACATTTTTAACATTATAATGCTATAACTTATTGAAAAGTGTATTGATCAATATAATTTTTTTATGGGAAATACCATTTTCTAATAATCTCTTTTTTATTCGACATACTTTGTCTTAATCAGGATATTAATAAGGAACTAACAGTTTATGAAGCTTTTGGAATAATCCACTAATTTTTTAAAATTAAACACTATCTAAAGATTTGCATCGAAGCGTTTTTTTTTTATAGTGATTTTAATCACTGTCAGATATCATTATACTTGATCCAACTATGCCACGTCACCATTATGCCGCGACCCCCCTGTGCTGGGTTTTTATATTTGAAGCCCACCCGTATATAGGGAAATGGTCTGATTTAAAAAAAAAGTATGTCGAAATTTATTAATTAACAGTTTTAACGGTAAGAATAGAACATATACGTTTTTATTTTTTTAGGGCTAAATAAGAACTTTTCGAAAATTGTTGTATATATACTTTTTATAGAAAAATTGTATAACTACAAAAAAGTCCAAATAAACTTTTTCGCAAAAGCTAAATTTTTTGAGATAGACATAAAAAACTAAAAAATCACCCTTGGGGGTTATTTTTAACCCCCTTGGGGCACGTCTTAGAGTTGACCAATCGTCTCCAAATTTTGTACAATTTATTTTTTCATGTATTCAAATAATTCTAGTGGGTGGCACTTTGTAATTTTTGAATTTTATAAATAAGGGACACCCTAATGTAGCTATATAAATCATAAATTAAAAAAAAAAATGATTTTTAGTTTCACCTGAATTAAACGATAGATTTTTACAATTATAATCAAATTTTATAACACGCTCAATTGAGGAAATCTTTTTAACAACTTTATATTTATTGTTTTTTTTAGATATATAATCATTAAAATTAATTAAATTCTGAATATTTCCATTGTAAAATCTTTTTAAACACCAAAAGTTAATTAGAAATTATTACTATGATTTTTATTTAAGTGATCTATTACGATAAAAATGTAAAAAAGTCGAACTTTTCTGATAAATATACTGTAAATAGTTATTATAAAATTTCTTGATTGCATATTAATCTTAACTTCAATTTCTTAGAATTAAGCGTTTATAATGATAGTTATTTTAATCACTGTCAGATTAAATCTATACTGGACCCAACTATGCAATGTCCCCACTATGCGGCGATCCCACTGTGCTGGGTTTTTTTTTTTTTTGGTTTCAGATTGCTATGAGGGCTGAAATCGTGGGTATGGTCACGTACCAATTTTTTAAGACCTCCCACTTCATCAACTGTAAATTTCTAATCATTTTTTTTATAATTTATTTACAGATTAATCAAATTTTGTTTAAATTCAACGAAAAAGGATTTTACTTAATTTATTTGATTGTTTAATAGTTATTTTAAATATAACTTATTATGTATAAAAAAACTTATTGAAATATAATTAATTTTATCATTAAAATATAATTTGCTCGTGTTATGATCCAATAAAAAAACAGGTAATTATAGTTACGCATATATATTGTTAGCCTTTCAGTCTAACAAAATAGCTATTATATGATTTATATTGAAGCATGAATGACAAAACAAACTTAGTCGATCTAGTTAAATATTCTAGCATTATCTACCCTAAGAAATTAAATGTTGGCGTAATGTAATACCATCGTTCTAATGTAACGATGGTACTATTAAAAATAGATTATTTTATATTACAATGTAGAAAGTAGATTTCAAATTATAAAGTAAATTTTTGTTTTTTTTTTAACATGTATCGAATGTCGTGACATGATGATTCTAAATTGAATTAGGAAGTTAAAAAAATAGACTTGCAACAATGGAACGATCGATAACATTACAATCTGAAGTTTTTCAAGAAATGAATGAATCAAATGAATCATCAAACTCTACAATTCATAGTTAGTATGAATTCTGTTAAACCCGTGTATAAAGATTTTAGTTAAAAGAGTGTTGCCGTTTTCGACCAGAATTATTGTTATTAGAGAGTTTGTTTTCAAGTATCCCAGTTCCGATTCCACCGCAATAGTTTAACATAATTTACCTAATATTTTATGTTTAATTATTACATGGAAATTAATGAAATTGTTATCCTGGCCATTTAAAAGTAAAAATTTAGGTTCAGATAATATTATCTTTTAATATTAGCCACTCATTTTTTTTTTTAATAATAAATGTTATGAAAATTTTTTCTTGGTATTTTTTAATTTTATAGATTTCATGATTTATTAATTATACCTTAAGAGGATGTCAAATTATTTTTTTAAATGGCAACATACATGTTTAACAATTTTATAAAATATAAAAATAATCTAATTAAGAAAATGGCTGGTCGTTTAGAAAATAACAACTCGCATAAAAAATTATAAGAAAAGTTCTCCACCAGTTATCGATTAGTCATTTTCTTAATTAAACCATTTTAGCTTCGATGCAAAGCTGAGAAAGTATTAATTTTAATATGATGTGTTTTTTTTTTTATTTTTATTTTTTTTTGTCTGTGAACCCTCAATCTCAGCTCTCGCTGGACCGATTTTGATGAAAAATATGTCAAAAGATCACAAATCGTATATAGTCGATGAGATTACCCTCAAAATTTGAAAAAAATTCTCTCGTTCCCCCTAAACGGGGGAAATTCCCCAAAAAATTTAAAATTTAAAAATCGCTAATTTTTGACATTTCTCAATTTTTTTTACTTAAAATTGCCATAATTTTTTTTATATAGATACATGATGTCTACCTATCATTTGGTATATTTTTTTGATAAATATTTCCTTAAATGACCCTTTACCAGCCCACAAGAAGGGTTTCAAAATGATAACTTTTTTACAAAAAATTAACTTTTTCAACTTAACTTTTGAAAATGTTCTGGAAAGACTGACACTTTTATGTATACCTTAAATTAAAGCTAATGTTATATACTTTATTTTGAAAAAAAATTTGACCTCTGGATTTTTCACCATAGTGAATTTGAAAACAAATTTTTTTTCTTTTAATTATTATTTTATATATAATAATATATATAATTAGTAATAATATTAAAACTTAGAAGTGATAGAAAAAGTCTAATTGCAGATTTGAAAACAACGCGAAAAGTTGATTTAGAAAAGTATATTTTTGCTTCTGATGAAAGTTCCTTGTAGTACAGTGCATTTATTTATAGTAACAAACAATTTTTATTGAAAAATATTATATCAAGCCCTTTAAATTTTTATACACGTAAAAGTAAAGCAAAATATAACTTCTTTATTATTTTTATAATTTCTCCATATAAATTACAATATTAAATTATTGAATATCAATTTCATACTAAATTTAATAATTATAATTAGTATTTATTCATATATTATATTTTAAAATCAAAGAACTACTTATTAGGATATAATTAAAGAAATAAGAGTTGATGTTGCTTTTGGAAAATCCACCAATTTCTCTAAATGAAACTCTATCTACAGATTTGCATCGAAGCGTTTCTTAAGATAGTGATTTTAATCAGATAAATTCGTCCACACTGTGCCTCGACCCCACTATGCTACTGTTTTTTTTTAACATTATGTTGCTATAACTTTTTAGAAAATGCATGAATCAATTTTATTCTTTAATGATAAATACTTTATATATACCCCTTTCATCTGACACGCGTTTTTACGAAAATCAACTTAACTTTTGAAAATTTTTCTTTTGGAATAATCCACCAATTTTTTAAAATTAAACACTATCTACAGATTTGCATCGAAGCGTTTCTTATGATAGTGATTTTAATTACTGTCAGATAACATCTATACTTGTCTCACTATGCCACGTCCATACTGTGCCACAACCCCACTGTGCTACCGTTTTTATTAATATTTGTGTTTAAGTTGTGCATATTTAAGAATAATTTACTCATTGGGATTTTGCCACATTGAAAATTCATTTCTAATCTTGTGTTAACTGACAAAATGTGATAATATTACTTAGTGATTACATTCACTCAATACGTATCCAAGATTTTTTTAGTAATTTTTGTGGCTTTTTATCTTAAATGTTTTTTAGTTTTAAATTATTATTTTAAATATAATTTTAATTTTAAATAAATGTTTATGATTTATCAACATTTTTAATTTCCTTAACAATTTACCTTAAGATGAATATTTCCAATAACCAATCGGTTATATTTTTGATTCGAAGAATTTTATTTATTTTTGATTTTTAAACAATTTATATCAATTCAATGACATATCGTGATAGTCCTAAATTATGTTAAATGTATATAATTCGCATCACATTATAAAATAATTTATTAAATTGAAGATCTTATACTTCTTAAGAATTTACTACTTTTTTTAAGTATCAGTTCAATTAATATATTGAATAATTTTACAAAAACAAAATTATTAATTATTATTCATTAATATTATTGATAGCGGAAATGAAAAATAATAGCAATATAACTAAAAAAAATAATGTAATTAATATTTAAATCACACATCCCTTATTGACTTATAACGAGTAGTGGAGTAGCTCTCTTTAATATAATTTTATTAAATACGATACAAAAGTCACTTTTTTACTATAATAATAGCTAACTTGTTTCATCTTCCCCATACCAATCTTAAGATTTGAAACATGACATATAATCTATGGCGGCTTAAGTTAAAATTAAAAAAGAACCATTAATTATTTAGAATATTTACAGATATATTTATGTCCTTAGTTTTATTTTGATCTAACTCTTCGCATAGTTGATCTCTGAAGCGATATTACGAATCCGAGGTTGTATTAATACTGAATGTGTAACTTATATACTCGGACCATAACTGTCATTCTGAAGATGAACTCTGTAACGAATATAAAACTAAAGATATAAATATATCTGTAAATATTCTAAATAATTCATCGTTCTTCTTTAATTTTAATTTCAATCCATGAAAGCATAAATACGTTTATAAGAACGATAAAGTTACAAATTTTGTAATTTCCATATCGATGGTTTAGCCATAAAAGATGTAAGTGATATTTTTTGTAAAAACGATTTAAGATATGGAATAAATGTAGGAAGTTAAGTTTTTTGCTGTATACCAAAAATAACAAATTATTTTTTAAATTTGACTATTTTATATTATTTTATCTGCCAGTCATAAGAGGCGACTAATGAGGTTGCATCAGGTCGACAGCGTAAAATTTTTGTCAAAAAGTATGAGAAGTCCTGAACAAAACTTGTATCATTTTGTATCATCTCGGATGTACTTTTAATTATATAAGTAAATATCAATTTAAAATGTTCAAATAATGTTCTTAAAAAATTCTTAAAAGTTAACTTACTCAAACCCAATTTATTTTGTGCATAATTATAACTATTTTGATATAAATTTAATAAAAATAAAGTTAAGAGATTTATTTATCAAAAGAGATGTTGAAAAAATTGAAATTTATAGCTTTATTGTTCTTTAACATTAAATGAGTTATCATTATAAACATATATTAAGGAGACTTGAACGGACTTAGCCCCCAAAAATCTCAATAGTCCCCTAAATCGAAATTTTACTTTTATTATTATATAAAGCACCCCTAAAATTATTTTATTATATGTCATCATAGATTATAAACTATACTCCAAATTTTGCATTAGCTTTATTATATATATATATATAGTAATTATTATAATATATATTACTGTATACTTCAATAATTATAATAGATATGAGACATTATTTATTATTTTATTTTATAGATTTATTATTTATTAATCTCATAGTGAATGACTTTCATGCATCAGGGCTTGTAAAAACAGTAACTTAGAAATAGTTTTATCCTATTGACGATTTTCTAATTGCAAATTCATATTATTCAGCTGTTTAAATAAAATAGTTTAGTAATATCTACTCATGAATCTGGTTCAATCTATAGACTTTGTTACATATTCAAAACTTCTATATTTTTTTTATAAAATGTAGGTACATTAGTTCGTTGATAATAACATTGGTCAATACAAATTTTAGATCTGAATTTAAACAATTAATGACGGAAAAAAAATTTTACTTGAAAAAGTTTGGTTTTATGGCTATAATAATAGATTTTACCAAAAAAAATTTAGCCTGTTTGTTGATTGAAAAATATTAAAAAATATTTTTTATAGTTTTAAATAATGATAAATTACATAATTATTTCAAAATAAATATATTATTTAAAAATTATAAAATAATACATAATTATTATATATATAAAATAATGTAGTTTCTATTATAAATGTAGAAAATTCGTTGCATCAGTAGTTTCCATTAAATAAATACCAAATTTATGTAATGTTAAATCTCAACACAAATTTTAAAATTCACCAAAAATAATCAGCTATTGATTTTTCCCTATATTGTCATATATTTAGTCCAAGTGATTAAATAACATGCAAATAGATATTCTATGATACGGCCACGAGAAACCTATGTATTTATTAAATTATTTGAAAAGCATAAGACCAATCTTTTTAAAAAAATAACAACTGCTTAAATTTTTATGGACTTATGAAAATAGAAAATTATTATTAAAATATAAACTTAAAAATAAAATAATAATTTATCAACTGACCATTTAAAACTTGAATTTAAATATTTTAACAAAATATTTAAACAGGTGTGGTTGACAATTAAACATTGTATACATAAATATATAAAATGTTTTAAACAATAATAAATACCACAGCTTAAAAATTATAATTATGTTAATAATATAGTATCTTATTATTATTGAATTCGAAATTTGTTGAGTTTATAAACGGGGTATGATCATGATAACACATTCAGCTAATGTATTTACATCATAGAATAGGCTAATTTTATGCTTAGATACTGATCCTCTAGTCTCCTAGTCCTTAATTTAAACATAGACAATATACTATTATTTAGTATATAACAAGAATTTAAAATAT